ATAAGTATGTTTTTTTTTTTTTTTTCGAAAACGCCATTTGGTTCAAAATCGTTTCTACATTATACTTACAGCGATTTATCGTAATATCCAATCGGGCGGTGTCGTATAGAGCTGTCGGGGTCATTGAATTTATTATGGATTCGGCGCGATACAAATCGTATACAGATACGCGCTACGCAGAATACGCGCGTGCACGGGTATTTATTATGCGTACATCCGATATTTGTGTATATATATTTGTATATATTTTTTTGTGTTTTTATATCAGATCGATGTACCTAAATAATATGTATAACGTGACGAAAATTCCCGAAAGACCCGGGGAAGGTCGTTGACCGAATTTGTCTGACGTATCTATAAGTACTACCTATACTATTATTTACTCAGAGTATCCGCAGGTGCCAACTACTTATAATACGTAACTATACTGTTATGCAGCCAGTGGTCTTTTCGTCCAAGTCATACGAACTTTATTTATCGTATAATGACGTATGCATATTCGAGGTTTTTTTTTTCCCAATTCATTTTTCCGGTCAAATTTTCGATTATATTTATATATAATCGTGACGTCATTCCGTTTAGGACATACAATGAGAAAAAATGGCGGTGACAGAGATTCCCGCGAAAAACATTATAATATTGCAGCAGTGATCATAAATATTATTTTCCATTAATAACTGATGACCACGTACTAAAATAACCGCGGTAATGACCTCTGCGGATTATGGTTTGTTGTGATAAGATTGTGTATACGCGCATTATTCCATATTATGTCGGATAAATTTACGTAGCAAAAAAAACATATGCACCACGTCCGTGTCTATTTCGTTGTAAACACGTATTAAAGTACATTATTAGTGCTCGCCTTAGTATAGTTTCCTCCCGCAGAAATCGTACGTTATAATACGCGATCATTATTCACAGATTTCGAATACAATAGCAATGTCTGGTTTGCATACATTAGAATTTGTGTTAACCAATTTTGTTTTTCGTCCCGTCTCCGTCATCATAGGTACGCGCTGCAACAGGTGCATAAATAGTTAGCCAGGTGGTTATTACCTATATTAGTTTGTGGACGCGTGTTTTATTTTCCCCTCCCCGGAAAACATATCAGATTCCGAGTATAACGAAGTGGCCATTAATTTTTTAAAAATGGTTTAATATTCTATATTGGAAAACGCTTTTACGGCTAGTATAAATGCTTGGTTTTTTTTCCATCGTAACGAATGTTACTATATTTGAACTATTTTTCGAAATTCCCAATACTTTTTGGTTACTACGAAAGTGCTCCGATTTTTCCACGTAAGGTACCATGAGGTATCAATATGCGTAATTTATGTCCATTGCAGGTTCTTTATTTGAATCATTTATCGAAACTTTCATCGGTTCGCCTCCTAGGAAAAATTTGTTTGTTAATCTTTGGGTTACCTTGACAACAAGACGAAATCACAACCAATACATTATACTCTACCTAGGATCGTGCAGTTTTCGTTTGCAATGATTTATAATTTCGTACAGTATATGAATTACATTATCCTGTAGGTATATCTTACATTCCGAACTATTTACATATATAACAGTGAGCCGTCTCAACTTTTTTCCACAGACGGTTTTTCTAAAAAAAAAAAAAAACAGAATTAACTGTAAATTATAATAATATTATAATAATTATTACATGCAAAAATCTAAATAATTTCGAACTTATATAATATTTTTTTTGAATTCTTATTTCTAAACATATTTTTTTATGGCAGGTGCTCATATTCGAACTTCGGACTATTTTTACATTTTATTTTTATTGTTGCTTTTCTCGATTTTCTCGATACTCTAATCAGCGCTGTCGTATAAAAAGTGATAAAATGCAATTATGCATGGCGAAATTAGTTTTCTTTCGTTTGTAGAAAATCCGATCAGCTGAAAATTCAAAATATGTTATGTGGATTGTTTTTTACTTTGACCTAGTGTGCGTTTAAGAAATATATTTTTAGTTTTTAAACTTTTAAGGGGTATTGTTGAGTACAAAATTGACACGGTTTAACGTTAATATTATATTTACTATTCGCAGATTTTTTTCAAGACAAAAATTTAGAAAACTCTAACGAATTTGTGATTTTCCAAACCATTGTGCTAATATTAAATCTTATTTATAGGCAGTTCACCGACAAAGTCAAATACTTTGCATGATGACAAAATGATAACAAATATATCGATACATATAATCGTAACTTCCCGCTCAATCATACCCCGCGGTACGAAACCGACCAAATATTGAATTCGACCCAATGAATTAGAACTGCCGGGATACCTATGTACCGCTATATATACCGAACGACCTCCTCCTCCGGAATACCGCGACACCTTGACTAAGGTCGACTGTGTGGTTGCATTTCCTAGGTGCTTATTAATACTCGTATCTCGTACTTACATCAATAATATTGTGATAAAACAGTCGACCGAATACGGGACTCGTTTAATTTTAATTACATATAATATTATATTATCATAGTATTTCACGACTTTCTATACCTACCGTGTGTTTTTATACCATTATATAACTATACGGCAGCAGTTGTGTGCGTTTTAATATGTTTATTGTGGTGACTATATAGGTATACTCGTTCAGCGTACTTCCGACGGTTCTATAATAATAATAATAATAATAATAATAATAATGATAATAATAATAACAATAATAATAGTACAATCATATTATTTATAAATTTATAAATTATTCGTACGTTTTTCGCAAAAGACGATTTGCACTTGGCCAAAAAAAAAAAATCGTTCAATCATAGCTAAACTTACCGTTTTGTTTACTATATTATAAATTAAGTTCGATTTAAACGACATTAAGTAGTTGTGCAATAATGTACATTATTCTATTGACTGCAATTCGCAAACCGATTCTTACGCAAAACGTTCGTTCGTCTCAACAATATATATACATAATAGTATTAGGTATAGGCACCTACACCACCGTAAACGTTAAAATGTTTAAACAAACAAAAACTATATAGGTAGGTACACGACGAAGAACCTATTTTTTTATTCGTATATACACATATATATATGCATAAACGCCAAAAGATTCAATTATTTAGCATTCGATGCATATATGATGTGTTGCAATAGAGAATGTCGCACGGCGTAACCTTGACGCGTTCTTCGGCACGCAATATTGTTTTCCTCCGAAAAAAAACCAACTTATTACATCGGTAGGTAATATTATTATTATAACGAGGTACCGATGATGATATATAGTGATTTTTTTAAAATTTCATCCACAAAAAAAAAAAATTAAAAATAAATAGTATACTGCTGTATACGTTTAATAGTATAGACAATTATATTATTACGTTTATCTGAATATTATATTAAAAACCGGTTCGAGAATTTTTCCCGTTCGATTATTATAAAAATTATAATAAATGTATACATTTCGAGACTACAAGAGAGGGAGAATCCGCTCTCTTTATTGTATAACATATCACACTCTTGTTCATTTTAGCAAAAAATTAATACTATACCTGCCTAAATAATATTATTATCATATTTGCCTCATCAAACCGGCCACGAACTGCAGGTTAATTATCACGTTTGTTACGATTAAGAAAAGCGATTTTTGAAAAACTATAAACTATTTTTCTGAACTCGTTTTCATCTGTGCATAGAAACTCGGCAATTTATACAATATAGGTGATATTACGGTGTACCAACATGGCTACAAAGAGATAGTCTCGTATGATATTTGAACGTAAACTGTATATTATGCTATAGATTTTTCCTACAACAATGTTTGTTATCTTTGTTGTTAAGGTGATCAGATATTGCCGGTACGTTCTGTTTTTGTTTAACACGTCATACGCAGCGTTGCAATTTAAACCAATTTCCCTTAAAACAATCTGATCGATGTGTCGATAGTAATGTGGTGATGATAAGTTTACTATCTGAAAATAGGTCGGCCAGGCTTCTTTTTCGAATATCAGACATTAATTTCCGAAAAATTCGATTTGAATGTTTATAAAAAATGTACGTGAGAAAAAAAACTAAAATTTGATTGAAAAAGTGACTATTATTAATCTGCAGGGCACAGTCCTACAGTTGGTCTTATATATACGTTTTATATGATGCTATATTTTTCACACAATATTAGCACACACCCCTCCCCCCCGGATCCCTAATTTTTTCTCTCGAGAGATATCTTTCTGTCTCTCTGCTTTCAGTCCTATAAAGTATCTATTATACCTACTTATACTTATAATAATAACTATCGAACGCATTTTAGCAGAAATAGACTAAAATTTAGGCTATGATTATTTCTGTTTTTTTTTTTTCCTAATTTTATCTCAATAAATATAAAAATAATTAAAACAGTTCATTTATATTATAATAATAATTATTATTGTACAATTATAACATTATGTTTCTCGTATTTTGAACGTGGCGTATGGTTATCGTATATGTAATATTACACATAGATTTTATCATTATTATTATTATTTTTTAAATTTCTCAGAGCGTTTGTCTGTAACCGAGTTCAACGATCTCTACATTGCCACAACCTGCATAATCAAAACGCCTTCCTTAACATTAACGTAGATGGACTGGCTCAATGCCGCTTAGTTTGTCACTTTCACTTTTGCGCGCGCTCGGGCCTTGGGCTATAACCAGTGTAGCCAGGTGTTAGCTAACCAAAACCATAGTTCGTAATAATAATAATATAATGATTATTATATACACTCTGAGAACCGATTTGGCCGGTAAAATTGGATTGTTTGCGCGTCCGAAAATTCGCATAAATATACCTATTAAAATTGTTTACGTTTTGCTGCTACGTTGTAATGTACCTATGTGCGTAGCAATTAATATTCTATAAGTACGTTTATAATAATATGTAATAATAGTAAGAACCGTCGATGGAGGAGGACGATATGTTATAGTAATAATTCTAAACTGCGAGCTAAAAAAAGGTATTTTTTTTTTTATACGGTTGTGTTTTAGAATTTGGACGGAAAATGTGATTTTGAAAAAGCCGTGTTAAAAATTATAAGTCAAACGAAGAGTTCCGCGGGAAGAATTAAGATAAAATGACACAGACGTTGGACAAAACAAGTATATATACTTACCTACAATATATTATTATAATCAATGAACCTACTATACGTATGCCTAGACTATAAGATGTAATTATTATATTGATCCGTTATTTTCAGGTTTGCGTCGTAACCATTATAATATGTGCATTATTTTGCGACCATAATACAGTTTAGTTTAAATTATTGAAAAAAAAAAAAGAGAAAAAAATAGACGCGTGTCGTAGATATTAATAGAGTTATGTATTATTTATTTGAACGTGTGAATATTATCCGCGGTTAATATTGTAATCTATCGCGCCGCGAGTATCCGAAAAATTACCAATTATAATGTTATTAGGTAGGTAGATATATTATGTTATCGATCAACAACAACACTGCAACGTGACCGTATTCGAGAGAAAAAAAAAAAGTACTTCATCGAGGTTTTTGACCCTTATATACGACCTTCCGAATGTCCACCTTCGTGTGCAACTAGTCCAGGGACATCGGGTATAACGAATTATGGAAATATTAGATAAATATCTCTTTTATATATATATACATATACATACGTACATACACGTGTATACATATAGGTATAATATTTTATACAATTACCAATGTGCCAAAATAATAAAAATATTGTACATGCACACACACTGCGCTCGGAATTTCTCAAAAGAAGCGCGTTACACTATTTTGACAAATCGGTTTATTTTTTATTTTTTTTGTAACTGTATCGTTAGGTAGATAGGATATTAAATTGCGAACAATTTCCTTATGAGGAAGTTTTCTTTTTTTCAAATCTACATACAAAATAGTTTACATTATGTATATATATATATATATATATACATATATATATTTATAAAAAGACAATTTAGGGAAATTAGACATCCTCCTCCCACCCGCTATATCCTCCTTTCGTGTAAATACGCCTCCGGTTTGAATAAAACACTGTACGATAGTTGGTCGTCTCCTTATAGATGTATAATAATATTATGTGCTATTTTCTAACGGCACCCGCGAGTAATGGGCTTTTGGCACGTTTCTAAGACGACGGAAAAGCACTTGTACTATATTATTATGTAAGAAACGATATAACCAGTAATTTATTTATGTTTTTTTAAGTTTTTAAAATTAGCGCGAGGTATTTTTCTTTCATTTCGATTATCTCACACGACGCGAGAGAACTCGATTTTGATTTTAAACTATTACAGTATTATATAGGTATAATACCTGTACACCTAATTTATTATTATTTTAGTATACAGGCTTGTAATTTTTATTTTTATTACTTTTTTTATTCCGTAAATTGCGTTACGTAAATTTATATTACTCACAATGTAGGTACTCGGGTATTATGTTATTTCAATTTATCGCATACATAGTAATAACATCATTTTTTTATTATCATTATAGATGTAGATATCGAATAATAATTAAAAAGTTGCTAAACGTATAGCGTTCAGTAAACGCGACTTTATTTTTAATATTAGAACGAATTGATCCATCGTCTAACTTAAAGATACAAAAACATCATCTGCGTTTATACGTTGGTTTTTATCTGATATATTTAAATTTTTTTAGTAAGTTCATAAACGAAGACTGGAGGACTAAGTGACTTCTATCCCCCCCCAAAAAAAAAAAAAAAACAATTATTTTAACCCTGAAATTAGAATTACTTTGTATGGCTTATTACATTTTTATTTGTGACAACGAATACAAATACAACACCTATAATATTACATTTTTTTTTTTTACTCATCATTAACACCCCTCTCCCCCTAAAATTCAATCAAATCTCTGTCTATGAATTAGCTTTTTTAAATGTTAATATTTCACTTATGTATACATCTAGTTTAAAAATAAAAATTGTATATACAATCACCAGTGGTATATCTAGGTGGGGGATTTGAAGAAGTTTAACCCCCCTCCCGCCGAAATGTCAGGATATCTTAAATTACTGTTTTAAATACATAGTATAACATACTGTAATAAACTATTTGTTTGCATAAGGTTAGTAGGAGGACTGGGAAGTAATAAAGGCTATGTTTTATCTCACTTTCTCGAAAAAGGTCTTGTAGTAGAAAATATATAAAACGTAAAATAAAATATAAAGTAAACGTGAACTAATTCGTGTTTATCATTTAATCAATCAGGTAACTGCACAATTCATTTTGAAAGAAGCGGTTAAGATTTTTCATGTTGAGCCATTCATGTTTTGTTACTCTGTACAAAAATATTTTTAAATGTTCCTGACATTTCAGGGGGACGTGAGCCCCTAAGTCCCCCTTGTGCACTCACCTGCAGCCAGTAATTATACGTATGCAACAAATATAAAGCGATTATTAAAACTCGAATAACATAGCTAGAAGAAACGAAGGAGGAGTGAGAGGGGATGGGGATGAGGAGTGGGGGAAAAGTAACAAAGTGCGTAAAGTTCATTGTATTCGAACGCGATGTCGTTTATTTGATGTGCAAGCGCGATAGCTGACTACTATAATTTATATTATACGAATAACCTTGGCCCGGTTGTTTGGAGTCGACGGTTGGAAGCGTCGTAGTCGTTGTCTTATAATATTATTGCAATGTTGTAACAGAACTTTAGTAGATATCTATATAATGTTATTATAAGTGAAAAAAAAAGTTTTTTTTTAGTTTCGTCGACACATTGTATTAAGTAGGTATATTATTGTTATCGGATAGTACAATATTATATTTTCGTCTGGGCGTGCAGCCCCCGCGCGATTGATAAGAAGTGCCTCATATTGTCCCTCCCCCACCACCACAACCGATTTTTCTGTATGCGATAAAAAAATGTTATCGTCGCGTCCTAAATAATATTCAACACGAGTATAAACAATATATAATAATATGCAAAACACTTATTAGCGCCGTGCACGCACTCGATATTATTTTATTTTATTTTTTTCTAATTCTTTACACGATAATATTATTCTAAAACGATTCGACAAACGTGCACGGTGTATACTTAATGAATACTTACGGTACACACACTATAGTATAAATATATTTTTATAAACTTCAGATTCGGTGACCCATCAGTTTTCATTCATTCATATATAATATTATTTATTATAATACGATATGAACGTTATTTTGGTCAATGCTAAACGATACGATAATAATAGTAATTGTTTTCGCGGTAGATGATTTTTATTTTGTTACTTTATTATATATTTTTTTTTACTACTACTTCTACTATTACTATTTACTACTTTTAATCTTTCTCTCTCTATATATATATATATATATACAAGAAGGATGTCGACGTCACAACCTCTAAATGATAGTGGGTAAAATGTATATAATGTTATTATATAGGTATCTGGTATATACCTAGGTACATTATACAGCTCGAACGGTGCTGGAATTAATTATTGGGCCGGTATGGTTCAAGGCAGATTGAAGCTTCAAGGACCTATTTATTGTGACAACCGCCTATAGTGTAGTAGAACTATTGTTCGGGGCTTTTTTTTTTCTGTCTCTACAACGTGCATGCCAAATAAACAAAACATAGAAACAATATATTATTATTATAATATGCCGCGATGTTGTGTTTTCGTAACGGTTTTCGATATACCTATATAATACATACATGGAGTGTATATACTACCTTTGTTATAAAAAAACTGCTAAAACGTCCAAATCGGGTACTCATATGTATAATATGTATTTTGAATTGAACTTAAATTTTAAATGTAGTATCGAGGGTTATACAATTTCCGAAACATTTTAATGTTATAGTTGTTTTATTTAGCAAATTGAATTAACAATGAGCATACCGGTGTATTATAATAATCACGTTCCCTTCGTTATTGATACCACCGTGTCATTATATGAATCGCAACAATATTTGAAAATAAATTATATTATTATAATGTACCAACAATGTTTTTGGTTCTATTAGTTTTACTAAAAGGTGTGTGTGTGTGTGTTTTTTTTCTCGGAAAACACTTTTTCGATTGATAAAAATGCTCCGATTTTTCCATGCCAACCTTAAAAGATGGGCGGCATTTAATTCAAAACATTTATCGGTATGTTAAGCAGTTTATTCCGTTTATAGTTTCCTTTTTTTGTTTTTTGATGTTTGTTCATTTCTGGATTCTCTTGGCAACGCAAAACGTATAGGGATACCTGTGTGTATAGGTATTGAATATTGGAATAATTGAATAATTTGCGAATTGCGTGGTTTCTGAGCTTTTCACGAAAAAAAAAAAAAATAATAAAAAACCGTAAAACGAAACCTGTTTAAATATCACACCGTTGGTTATAATATGTCTGAAATAATTTCCGAATCATTTTGTTTCGTCATACTTATATTAGTGAATTATTAATTCGTTAAATATTAATTTAACGAAGTATAAAAATGATGTCATTTTTCAAATCGAAAAAACCTACAGCACCAACTATGTGCCTAATGTCGTCGCCTTAGAAAATTATGCATTTCGTTTTATTTACGTTGTTATTTTATTTCGCGAAAACAACAATGCATATTATATAGGTAATAATTGACACACTTTTAACAAGTGTGTGTGTGTGTGTGTGTGTGTGTGAGCGCGTATTTACAATAATAAGAAATAATAAGCAGTATAGTACATAATAGTATTTATTCTGTTATCGTCGAACGATATTATTATTATTATTACAACAATTTATTATATTATTACGCAGGTAATATGTATTCTAGAAAACGAATAGCGAAAAAATCGATTTTTTTGAAATATAGGTACACATGTATGTATTTCAACTTTTGCGGAACGAAATTTCATTGAACCCGTGCGACATATTTTATAACGTCGGTGTACCTGTATAGAGTGTGTGATATTTTTCTAACGCGTGCAGAGTTTTAGGTGTAGCCTGATGTATTGCAATGTTTCGAGCAATTAGCGCGTCGGTGTTAATAAAAACGTTTACGTCTTTTAGCGAATATCGTTATTACGTGTCGTATATACCTATTACCGTACATGCGTAATGGTGTTCACTTACACGCGCGATACGTCACATTGCCTACAGCTATTATATTCGTACGTATTTAGTAGTAAAAATCGTAAAAATTTCGGTTATGTCACTTTTGTTATCCGCGTAATGCATGTGTATGTGTATACTGTGCGTCGCCTCTTCGAAACAAAACTATACAGGTACCTATATATGCGTGATCTCGACGAGAGATGACGTCGCCAATCCAATCGCGCTGGCTTTTTTATTTTTTTTTTCCTATCTTAAATACGTCGGTATAATCGTTGTCAATACACATGGACGATGATGGGAGGGGGAGAGAGCCGGGGGGGGCTGCCTTTACACCGATCGAACGGGCCGTTTTCGACGGAGAATCGTTTTTGTTCTCCCGCTCCGCCGTTAATACGCTGACGACGTATTACTGCGTGTATGTATGCGTTTTGATAATAGAGGGGAAAAAAAAATCACCGTCGTCGTCATTATCTTGTACGCTATAAATACCAGATAGAAAAATATTATAATGGGAATCTTTCACTCCGGTATAATACTACAATATTATTATATACGAACCGTTTGGAAAACGACAACGACGACGGCCAAACTAATTACGGCCATTGATTATAAATATTATTATATTACCAAACGCGTTTTTTTTTTTTTTTTTTTTTTAATCTTTGCGGACTGGAGTGGGGCGAATAATATCGCGTGAAACGACCTTTGCACTAAACCGAGATCTCGGTCGCCGGGTCGTTGGCCGGCCGACAACGGGTGCGAGGTTTTTGCCGCCCGTTTCGCCTTGAACTCGTTTCCGATGATAGGCAGCCAGTCGGTTTATAATATAATATTATATTATATATATATTTTATTTTATTTTCGCTCTTATCGCTCTCAAACCAGACTAAAAACGCGCGTCGAACCAACTTGTAACGCCAATAATAATTATAATAATAATAATAATAATAATGAAAAAAAAAACATAATACATAATCGTATAATAAACATTGCTTAATTTTTTTCCCATACATTGACAGACTTTATTATTATATTATTATTATTATTATTGACTCGCTTATCTTTATTATTATAACATTATGGATACTGATACTGCTCCGTACAATCCTGATCCTGAGTCGGAATGCATTTTTTTTTTTTTTATTAAATTTTCACATAATAACCAAAGGGCGCCCATTAAAAAACCTATTGAATACGCGCACGCGGTTATATGCTCGAAAACACTTAACGAAAAAACGTTTTTAAAAAATAAATAGTAATAATTGAAAATTCTAACATTTTGTTTTATTATTAGCGGCGGCGCGATGTTCTACAGTATTGTTTATTCTACAGCCCGGAAAACAAAAAATGTTCCGGATTATTTGATTTATATAAATCTCGCATCGATTATAACTTTGACGGCCCATCTAAACGAAACGAATGATTTTTCTCGTCGTACGAACTCGGGTGCTTCAATAAAGCGTAATCGTTTTTGTGAAAACAAATTACTATGATTATAAGGAACAATGGAATTATATAAGGTGAACTCAATAAAATCAATAAAATCCCGAAATATGTACGCACAATAAATTTCTTATGTATAGAATATCGTTTTAGATCGAGAGACATAGCGTAAATTTTTTTTTTTTTTTTTGTCCGCCTATCTATAAAAATGTGTAAAAGCGTTATAATATCTGCCCAACCGATAGTAAAACGGCGATGCGAAAAAATGGCCAATATCCCGCCGCCGTTACGTGCAGACGTCACTTGTTATTATTTTGTCCGTGACATTATGTTTATAATGAGGGGCCAAAAAAAAAAAACCCGAAAAATAAAACAACCGTGTTGGGTAATCCGCGTATTTGTTAATGTGCTACACGAGCAAATTCGCGTAATATTCAACTGAATACGCGACGCTAAACCCGGGTCACTATATTTTTGTTCTACACATTTTTTTTTGTTTTTCCACTCGATAACAATGACCAAATCATTTGTAATAATATGTTTGACGGTACGTTACGATGGTATTGCTTGTGCGCTCGCCGCCATCGTCGCTAAATATAAATAATCGATGTTGTTGATATTATGATTTACGAAAATAAAAAATAAAAACTATGTGTCAGAAAAGCGATTATTTTTCTTTTACATGCCGTTCTTTATTTTTTTTTTTTTTTTTCAAAACCTTGACGGTGCGGCGACGATTGTTGTGAATTTTCGACCGAGTGACTACACTATAATATGTACTCGAAAATTTGTGTACAACAAATAAAAAAACCGCAACCAAAAACATCTTACGTTATTATTATGTGTATGAGTAGAACGCGCGCAAACCGGAATCGTACATCCGGGCGTGTCTATTCAATAAAAGAAAAGTAAAAAAAAAAAAATCTATTCGCGGAAACGGTCGACGAGCGAGATTTTATACATGAGCTGTATTCGTAGGATTCGACGATAATTTCCTATAATACGAGTACACAATGCGGCGGTTTCGAGGCAAAAGAGCCCAAAAGACACTTAAGATCTAAGGGAAGAAGGCGTAAACCAGGCGCTATTGTCCGGACCAACTGGTACTTCGGCGTGACCGTTTTATAACGAACGGTTATTGATGTTTTACATCTGAGACATAAAGAACAGTGCGTAAAATGATTGCCTTTTTAGATCACGGGTCCAAGGGTCGTTTTTAAAGACTAAACGCCAATAGTATATACTAGTGCTGAGCAATATTTTCACCGATTCGGACTTAGATTAATCCGTTAATTTTTTTTAAATGGGCTAGGCATTAAAAACGTATAGAAACTAGATAGCAGATGTTATCATCGAACGAGACAACTTGAAACGGTTAAACGGATTACGGATATTATATTATGTTAATTGATAAACGATTTATGTTATAATCCGGATTAAACTGATTGTATAACGTTTGTGTGAATTCTGATCCGTAATCCAGATTTGGATTGATCCGGATTTGATGCTCTACACTAGATATTATGCAGTGTCTATACGCGGATTCGCCCAAAAGCCCGTCGCCCGTTGCAGGGCGCATTGGAAACTGTCGCCAATCCCACCGGTATACGCCACGTGTGTATAAATATTAAACACTATAGGTTATAATAAATTATAATATTAATATAATAATATGCGAATGTGTGTCACCATCGCGTTGTTGGCCGAAAAACGACTAATACGAACGCAGAGCCGAACAATCTTCCAAACGGGCAAACGGGCGTTCTATTTTCGTATGGATCGCGGAGAGCTTTTGGCTTGTGTCGCATTCGTACATTTGATACCGCGCGCCGACACATAATTATTTGTAATAGGCACGCCGCCGCCGTTGTCGTCGGAATAATATTACAATATAATAATAATAATAATAATTATGTATCGTGACGATAATGTCGTGTATAAATGTAAAATTCGTGAACGTGAACTTGTAATCGATCATGCAACAAATATTATCCTGCGAATTTAATGCGTTGGAAAATCTTAAGAAAAAAAAAAGTAACAATTGCAAATCGAACAAGCACCCGCGGACAAAGGGCTCCGTTACTGCTCGTATATAGGTCGATTTTATTTTTTTGTCTCTATAAAGGACTTTTCTGCTGAGAAATCTTGGTTGAATCGAAAACGTTTATAGGAACTCTTTTTGTAGGTAGCGTTTTCGGTGCAGTCGGTGCGTTATGGGGGAGATCGTTTTTCGATTTTCCTTGCAGTTTTCGTAATAAACGGCGAAAACCGGCAATTTTTTTCTATAATTCTCGTTGAATTCCGAGTTACCTAGGAAACAAGGCCGAAAAAACTACGGCTATATAATGCTCTGCTCAGAATCGTTTTTCGTTAGACACGATTTATCGTTGCGTGTATAATACACTGATATAAATTGAATTGCTTTACACATACATATACATAATATATCCTCCCTTCCGACTTTCCTCCGGAAACAGCGGTACGGCCATCAGCAGTATGAACATTTAAAACATAATAATATTATACTTTATATTTTTTTCATTTTTTTTTCCCCCCGGATTTTTCATCAATGTGGATTCGCGTTAATTATAACACGTATACGGTACGACGAGAACGTATTTTAGAGGAGGATTTATATTACAATATCTATTATACGAACTTAAATGAATAATCGGGGTTTTTTTTTTTTTTTTTATCGCGTTTTATTCATTATCGTACACGATGCGTGCGTTTAAATCAGCTGTTACGCAGGTACATTCAATAATATTATACACGATTATTATTACTGTAAGCCTCGGTCATGTGTCAAGTGGGCGCCGGGCACTCGGTAATACAGACTCTCATTCGGACGAGAAAACCGTATCGACGAATCCGGTATTTTACATGACGTCATATTGCTAGTATATTTAATAACGTTCGAACGTTCGGAAAACAAATTCGACCTACATAATAATAATATTATTATTTTAAAATCATAAAACGTTTCAGATTGATGTTATTTGCCGGTTTATTTTTTGCGTTTTATACACGGCTAATGATCCTATACATTATAATATGCACTCGTCGTGTATCGTCGTAGTTGTATTACGTTTTTATTTTCTTCTATCAACGTTATTGCGTTCGATAATTTTTCGATTCCAAGCTCGTATAGTACAGTGTGAATGTATACCTTTATATTATGTGCGCTTGTTTTTTCGCATCAGAAAAAAAAAAAATTCAAGACGCAGTGCGTTAGGGAAATTATTTTTCGATTTTTCTTGCAATTTTATAAATACAATGGAGGAAAATACAAGAATATTTACGCACGATTTACGGTTTTTGAGACTTGGAATTTTCACCGAATTATCAGTTTATCGTATACTTTAGAGACGGTTTTTTTTTTTTTTTAGTTTTATGCAAATAAAAATATAAAATTTATTTTTTAGATTTTATCAGCATTTAAGTTTAGATTTATGTTGTAATCTATTAAAAAACGAACGGTCATAATTTGTTTTATAATAATTACAAATTAATAGAAAATTAATTAAAATTGTTTCGGACATATTTAGCCGAACTTCGCTCAGAATAGTTTTCCGTTTGCAATAATTTATCGTTGCGTTCAGACAATATAGGTACTCTGAATAACCATATAATGTATATATATATATTCATATACCCAAGGCCACATTAATAGGGGTCCAATGAACTCCGGGGCCGAACTTCAAGGATTTGAAAACTGGCCTTTTTTTAAAAAGTGAATTAAACAGATGCATTTTTGTAGATACTTTAAAAATTCTAAACGAAAATTGTTCGCATGTACACATAATAATGTCGGCACAACGGAATCTTTACATCCGCGGGGACGTTCCCTCCCTTCCCCCTCCCCATAATCCGGATTCGTATATTTATCCAGACTTCCCGACTTCCCGTACACAGCAGTGACACGAACATACGTGTGCGGATATTATTTTTATTTTCTATGCGCAGCAATTTCTTTTTCCGCGGTCTTTCGACGTTCTGTTTTCGAAAAAGACGCGAGGAAAGTCAATAACAGCTGCCGCAAGTGTATTAGCCGGTCCGTATCAATAGCCCAGCGATACGCGCGCGCGCGTGTACACAACAATAATGATAATAAAGGACTATAATAATACTACGTAATTTAATAGAAGGACGTTCGGACAAAACAAAACCTCCAAGACTCGATACGGTCCGGCGCGTAAAGAATGCCTAGAAATAAAACGTTGACTGTGTCGCGTAGTAAATAGTTAAACCGTAGTATAAATATCATAACCGCGATTGAACATAATCATTACGACTAAGTGTATATTATAATATTATGTACTGTACGAGCACACAATAAAATCTCTCTGAGAAAATATCGCGAGAGTTAATGTCCCGGACGAGCGGCACAGAAATGATCGCAAACGGTTCCGTCCCTATTGAAACCGCGCGCGGCTCAGAAAATGTAGAAAGTAAACGCGTGCTCGGGGTGCTTTTCGGGTCGACGATTCGACCGCGCAAGTAGGTAACAGCAGTGCTGACGGTATTGCCGGTACTAGAAAAAACCGAAACTCTCATTCCGATAGTTTTTGCGAAGTAGGTTTTTTTTTTTTTTCTTTTCCGTGCAGACCATTACGATTCGTTGGCTCTGCGGACGATATCGCGAGGTTGACGCCGCAGCGGCAGAGTCCGTTGGCTTTCCGTGACCGCGGGATTTCGGGTTAACCGTCACGCCGCGAAACCGACGGCGTAATCGACGACGAGCGTTGCATAAATACTTGAAAATAATAATCACACGTCTTTGGGGCCCGATAACAGTTCGGGTTGCGGGGCGAAAGACGATGCGCGACTGCCGATACGGTTCGACGACAACAACAACAACAACAACAATTGAAAATAACAACACAATATTACAATACGGGGAACCGGCATCGTCGTTCGCCGTTACGGCGTAATAATTATTGTTATGATAACGCGTTTAGCGGACGGGCCGAAAATCTCGTGCGCCGTCCGCACGATTATTTTTCGTGTTTGTAGTATAGCGCACACACTCGCACGCAATACGCGTTATAAATATTGCGCGATCGCGGAGATGTTTCGCGGCCGTACGCGGGCACAATAAATATTAACGCGTAGTTGACTGGGGCGGATTCGCAGCCAGGTATCGCAGGGGGTCGTGGACCGTTATCGCGTGCAACGTGTTAACGGTGACGTAACAACAACGCCGGGCCGGTGATCGCAGCGCGTATTCCGCTGCGCCGGGCCGCGCCGGATCGTGACATTATTGCGGATCGGTCGCCGCGTTTTCTACTGGTGTTCCTCGCAGTGTCGTGAACGCACAATTGTTTTCGCACGCGGCCGAAAGAACAGCGTCGCCGACGCGTCGCTTTGCGACTGTTGTTGTCGTGACGTTACGTATCCGTCCCGTGAAAAAAAAAAAAAAAAAACAAAAACGCCGTAATATAGTACCCGTGTACGGATAAGATTTTCGAATTTATTTTTTTTTTTCTTTCTAATTTTTGTAATTCTAATTCAATTATTATCACGGATATCCCAGTCTGGGAGACGGTTTTCGGTATTGCCGCGGTAAGCGCGCATGATGTGCAGTATCTTACACAATAAACGGGACGACCTTTATTAATATTACGCGCAACAACAACAACAACAACAATAACAACACCACCACAGCGTCGGCGATTCTGTAACGCGACGAGGGATGAAATCGGAGGGATGACGCCGACGTTACGTACGCGCGTGCGACGACGAGGGGTGGGTAGGTAGGTAGGTAGGTAAGTAGGTAGATATAGGTGCGTGTGTTTTGACGACGTTTAAAATATACGGCGGCGGCCGCGGCGGCAGCCGAACGGGTGGGCGAACTCGCGCTGCGCTGACCTACTTACCGCGGCACAGGTTACCGACCTCTTCCCTCTTCGTTTACACCGGCGGCTACGGCGGCCCCACTTATAACCTTCACGCGATACACACCGTCGTAGTCATTCGCCGGCAGTGGCCTCATCTACCATTGGCCGTAAGCGCGCGTCCCACCGAAAAAAAAAAAAAAAAAAAAAAAAAAAAACACCGTTCGTTTTGCATTAAACAGACAGATTGCACAAGCCTCCTCCTCCGCCGCCGCCGCCGCCGCGTGTGTACACTACTATTATTATTGTACGCTCGTATTATATTATTATTATATATATATATTTTTTTTTTCTTTCTCGCTTTTCTCTACCGCCGCCGCCGCCATAACAGCTCATTCCCGAGCCGATCGCCGTCGATCGTTACCGGCCGGCCGCACATTAGTCCGTAATAGTCGCGTACGTTCGCGTCGTCCGCGTCTTCGCCGCCGATCGTAACCGCGTTTCCCGCGAGCGCTTTAATTCGGTCCGCGCATTGTCGCCCCGTTATTGTATTGTTGTTGTTGTTGTCGGTGACCGCGAACCGGCACTCTTATCGTATGGGCAAAATTTGATTATTTTCGGGAAAAAAAAAAAAAAAAACACCAATTTATAATATACAACACATATAATAATAGAATATTATACATATATATATATATAAGGCGGTCGCGTTATCCTTGGATAACCGGCGTAGTCTTAAGCCGTCGTCGTAGCAGTAGTCGCCGACTTCGCAGCGGTTGGGCGTTACCCCGTTAGCGGTGGAGACGGAGAGAGAGCGACAGGGCGTGGGAGAGGGAGCGAGCGATGCGGTGACGCGCGGGTGTTTCGCGCCGCGGGGCGTGCTCGCGCTCGTGTGACAAAAGATTGAAGAGAAAGTGACAGTGTTCGCCCGGAGACCGAACGAGCGCGGTGTCGGTGCACGGATCGGAATTCTCTCCCACACGCGCGAGTCAGAGTCCGTAAAACATGAATTTTTTTTACTTTCCGCGCTACGACGACGTTACGGGGCACATTTTTTTCCTGCGCCCATGCGTTACGTAAAAACGGCCGCTGCATTCGAATCAACATCCGGCGCCGAAGAATATAATAACAATAATAATAATAATCATTTTTTTTTTTCTTGCGAGCTAATAATAACAATTTTGCGTATACGTGCTTGTCCACGGTTATAATATCACATGACAAATTGTTAGTGCGTATCGGTCGTAATAGTAATGAGTCGATAACGATATTTACGTGATTTTGAATTTTTCGTTTACCGCGTGCGTGTTTTCGGTATAATAATATCAGCATTATTATTCCGTCGAATATACACAGTTTTTTGACCGTCGTACCGGTACGCGAAATATTTATACTTTGTTTAGAATGTTTTGTTTTGTTTTTTTTTTTTTTTTTTTCAATACGTTTTTCTACCGTGATTCAATGTTAATTTATAATGATATTGTTTGTTGAACAGGAATTATGACCCTAACAAGTACCCCGTGTGACCTGAGTACCATGAGTCTGTTTCAAGACCTGAAACTGAAGAGGCGCAAAATAGATTCACGGTGCAGCAGTGACGGTAAGATTTTCGATAAAATTGTGGAATTTATTATAGTAATTAATATTTTATAAGTTGTAGTACCACAAATCACGTGCATCGTTTCTTCTCTTTTTCTTGTGTTTAAGGTGTAACGACCTTTAATATCTCCGACCAAATATTTCTCCATCTATTTCTGTCCTACGTGCTGCCTCCCTCTCTATTGTACTCTAGATTCCACCGTTCTTACGTCCCAAACAATTCACAGTCCTCCCATTTTAAGCTCCCGGATGTAACTAATGGTGACTAATGGTTTTTTTTTTGGAAATTTGATAATATTATATCCGGAAACCGAGAAAAAAATATAACCTGAATGTTATAATATGTTTCCTAGCAATTTCAACCCTAATATACACGGGTATGTTTTACCGGTCAACGTGTCGGCTTAATTCAAAAAAAAAAAAAGTTCGACATTATGTTGTTGTTTTTTTTAAAAATATTGTGTATATTTACATATGCACGACCCTTCAAAAATAAAAGGGGGTGTATCATTGATATCTGCTGGTTAGACATAAATTTAAACGCTCGCGTGTCTCGTGTTGTGTTTTATAAAAAATAAAATATTTTAAGCGTTAGGTTAGGTTTTGATTTCATTTAAAATCGATTTTTTATTTATTTATTCATATTGAAACATTATTAAAACCCTGTTTCGAATACACACATATATTATAAAAATCTATATCGTACGTCATTAAACTGCGTACATGGTTTGTGTGCAAGATTTGTCAATTTCATAGGATATGCAGTTACTTAGGAAATTGTCAAACCCTGCACATACACACTGTATATTATTATGCTGATAAGATATATTATACATATAGCTAAAATGTACTCTACGAATTTACTCTCGTTTTGCTTCGTCGTAATTTACGCGAACATCGTGGATTTCTGTTGTAAATTAATTCAAAAAGAAAATCAAATAATAACAAATTTGTTCTCCCGTGAATATTATATCAACATTATTATAATAATATCAAAGCGATTTCATCGAAAACATCGGTAAATATTGAAAAAAAAAAACGAATATCGAGTATTTGTTTAATATTATAAAAATAATCGTTTTTAATATGAAAAACGTTATAAATTATAATCAAACCGCAGTCGATGGTATTTTTTTTTCTTTATATATTTTAATGATAATTTATTATTTGTTAAACCACAAAACTGTTTGGTACCTACTGCATGCGTTTACAATATTATTAAATTTATACAAATTGCTTCTGAATGTTATATAAAAAAACTAAAAAAATTTCAACGTGATTATAATGATTATAGCGAATTAAGTGTTTAAAAAGCAAAATAAAAAAATCCTTCCCTATTAAACCGATTAATAATTATTACGATATCGTTATTTTCATCGTGATCCGTTTATCGAAACGTTATAATAATATTATAATCAAAACGTTCAAAGAGAGTCAAATCGATTCAGACGTAAATTGTATAACATTATATTTAGTAAAATCGTTATAATAATAACAATAGTTTTTTTGAAATACGCAATTATCCCTAAAAAAATTTATTTTATATTGAATCTCGCGGGACAAAAATCCTCTGGAAAATATATCCGTCCATGAGAAAATCAATAAAAACAACCGATGAAAAACCACAGCGGGTTCAGACGGACAAAGCGTCAAGGAAGGGAGAAATGGGAGAATCTAATCTACCTGTTGGTCCTGGTCTACTGTTTTTCCGAGGAAGTTTTAGTATCCTTGCAAGTATCATTATATAATACCTATAGGTATGAAAAACCACTGATTATTATAAACTGGGAAGAAAACGGAATCGCATTTTCCTCGGCTTTTAAATATGCTGCATCGACGTTCAAAGAAGCAAAGAAAATATAAAAAAAACAAAATGGTTTGAGGATTTTTTTTCCCCGGGGAAAGAGGGAGGCGTGTTCCCTGTATTTCACCCTTTTCATTTCGATTACCGCGCAACATTATTATTTTAATTCTTTGGTTCTAGAAGGAAGAAAAAGGCTTGATGTTTAGCATATTTCTCTCATCACCTCCTCTCATTATTTTATTGTCTAAATGGCGCTAGTGCATGTTCTAACACACGGCAATTAAAACCTCTCTAATCACTACAGTGCATTTTTTTCGTTAGGCCAATAAGTCGTAATAAAATAATAACATGTATATACAGGGTGATTTGTTTATCACGAACCAGCAAATATCTCGGAGGATTTCAAGTGAATTCGATTTCTGTTTTTTTCTAATTTTTATGAAATCGTTTAAGCTTTATTTTAAAACTATTTTTAATTTTTCACCCCTACTCTGTATACTTTAAATAAGTGCATACTTTCGATTTTCAAATAGGAACCCCCAACTTTTGAACATAGATTTAAATAGAGAATAATTTTCTAGAAATGTTGATACGCATAACACTAATATCAGATTTACCGTTTACAAATTATAACAATTTACAATTTAGACCGGAGGAGTAAAAAGGGTTCATAGATAGGCAATTTATTACCCTTCCCGTATACAAGGCTCGAGCTTGTTTAGAACGGGCCACTTGTTATAGCGATTTGCAGACCGTTTGGCGATATTCAAAATTCGCCGTTGTCGAATACTATACGTAAAATATTATTCGTTTTCAAAAGTGTTGCCCGGGACCAAAGGCGTATGTTAATCATATGTAAACGTAAGTATAGAAAAGAAGGTCCGTTACTCGATCCCTGCATATAATATTTTAAGCGATTCAGTCTTGAACTTTAGGTCTAAAACCAATTGGGCTCGAGCCCCGCTGTGTATTTTCGGTCTCTATATTTACGTCCACGGTACCCAATCTCACATGTACACCCGCAGTTGCCCGGGGGTGTCCGTCGTGGTGACGCGCAGACACAAAATATACGCGTGTTACATGCGTGTCTTATTTTATTATACCTATACAATATAAATCCGACGATAATAACGAAACGTAAACACCCACCGATCCCTGCGGAAAAAAATAAAAATAAAATCGTCGTAATATATTATAATAAACTGGCGCACTTAACCTAGTGACCGAAACAAATTGACACCAACCCGGATTTCAATAACGTTCGTGTACATAATAATAATATAGTTTATGTTGTTTTGACAGCGAAACGGTGTATTGTATAGGTATTATTGTATACATTGTATCGTATATAATACGCTCGTCTTCTTCTGCGGTTTTGTTTAGTTTTTTTTTTTTTTTTTGTACGAGAGGATTACCGTATACGTAACGGGGGTATAAATATAACGGGGAAAAGGATACAGGAATACAGGTACCAAATACATAAATATGATATTGTACGAAAGGAAAATGGTAGCTGCGACATGGCGATACCGCACGCGGTAATAAACACGTCAGAACCGTCGATAGGACTTATTTCGGGTTTTCGGTATTGTGTAGGTTCACGTGTGCCACGTTATAAGGTCATGGGAACCGCGACCCTTCGGCCGGTTTGTCACGGTAGTGTTTTTGTGCGTTTTTTTTCCCGTCCGGCATCACGCGGCGTGTGTTCTGTGTTATTCACAACGACGACGATGGGAACTGACCTGACCTAATTTCGTAGATACGTATATATATATATATATATGTATTATAACGTGGTTTTTATCCCGTATTTTTCCCGTTTATGTTTAGTGCGTAACAATATGTATCGAACCGCCACCGCAATATACAGCAATACGCAGCGGCGCCTCTTTCCTAAAACCGATTTCAGATTCCGAACGGAGCGAGGAGCGCATTATACGGTTTTATAACGATGTTTATTATTATTATTATTTTTTTGTTGCGAACGATTTTTGAAATTTCGTTCCGATTTTCCAGTGTAGCACAATTTTTCCGAAAGGAAATCCGATACTGGGATGGAACTTTAAGGTGATCGTTTTTTGATTTTCCCAGCTGTTTTCATAATAAACGGGAAAAAACATGAGAAAACCAAGAGAATCTACGAAATGTATAATGTTTTCAATTTTTTGTTTTTTGTTTTGTTTTAATTTAGTTAAACAGCGACTTGAAGTTTGGACAGAAAACTTATATTTCATTTTTCTAAACGTGGTGAAATTTTCAAAACATTGTAGCCATTTTTGAGCTATTTATAGACATTTTAATTTTACGGGGGTTTTTTTTTTACGTAATATTTGATCAGTAGGAACTCTGTAAATAAAATTAATAGACCAAACAGAAATGCTAGAAAATTTAACAGGAGGTTCATAATAGTAAATCGTACTTTGTAATGAAAAAAAAAATGAGTGCAATGTAGAATTTTTTATTTATTTCTATTTTAGTATCAAAGTTTGACGAAAATCGTTATAGTAAAAAATATTAGTAAAGAAATTATATAATGCATGTATAATTATTTTACCATAATATGATATGTATTGTACCTATATTGTTGACAAAGCAACACTATTAACTGAACTCCGCTCAGAAACGTTTTTCGTTAGCAATAATTAATCGTTGCGCACAAGTATAAACATTCAATTTCCCCTCTACTTTCTTAACTTCTCACCTACAACGATGGGTGAGTTCTGTTGGTGCTCACCCATCGTACGAAGTATGTACGTTTTTTTTTTTATAATAATTTACTCTCGTTTGACGCGATAGTCTACAGTATTATGACTAACCATCTAACCATCGTATAATAAAATATACCGTTTTACGAGTACTAGGAGTGCTTTTATTTTTATTATTATTTTTTTTTTTTTTGTTCTTTCTCTGGACGGGTTTTTGCCCAGAAAATATTATGCTCCGCACCGTCATTGTCAGTTTTTATTCCGGCGCCGACGAATTCTGGTTGGTCATGATACGTTTGCGATGTAAATTTTCGCTATTCTTTGCGGTTTTCTGGAAAAATAAGGTTTAAAAAACCCGCCGGCAAAATAGGGATATTTACGTTTTTGTCAAAATCGATAAGGTTTTTTTTTTTTTTAATTTGACAAAAAACGACCTTTAACGTTCACCAAATACTAATTTATATGTCTTCTTGTAAACACTCGACAATTTGATACGAGTTATTGGTTCTTATTGGAGTGTTTTGATGGAAATATGATTAAAAAAAAAAAAAATGAGCTGATACTGTAGTTGCATGATCGGTGTCTGCCACTGTTGTAAGTGCAAGGAAGTCCGGGAGGATAGAGTAATTTAATTTTTTTTCTGTAACAATAAATCGTTCTTAATAAAGAACGATCCTAAACGAAGTCCGGCTAAGTATAATTTGAAATGCCACAATATTTGTTACTTTCAGAAAAAATTTGAACGCTTATAAAAAAAAAATTGCATTACGTTAAAATATTTACAATGCGTTATCGCGTAAATTTTCTCAACGTGTTTTTTCCCGGTTTTTCCCCTTCTCGATAACCAGACCGAATTCACTACCTGTAGAAACCGTCTCTAAAGTCGCGTAGACGCGATCGGTGCGAGATTACCGGTCTAAAAGTGTCGGCAAGGACGAGGGGGGAAAAAAAAGGGATCGGAAATCTGAAAGTTTTAAATTCGTTTAGTCTGTTTTATATATAAAAATATATATAAATATATATATATATATATATATATAAATATATATATATATAAATATATATATATATAAATATATATATATAAATATATAAATATATATATATATAAATATATAAATATATATATAAATATATAAATATTATGAACGGGCGTTTGAAAATCGTGTTGTATAACCGCACCAGCCGCCTATATAATATTATTATAGTATATAACGACTCGAGTGCGTGACCTAATAGGTGGGAATAGTGGCGTATGTATAAGTTGATAAATAATACAATATTACTTGTGTGTGTATTATATATTATGTATATACCTATACACATACGTCCGTTTATCTTATCGCGGCAGTCCCGAACTATATAACAACGCCGCCGTACGGCGGCGTTGTAGCGTATACCGCACTTTAGTACTTTGCACGAAACTGTACACACGTACCATAATATTATATTAAACGGAATGTGTAACGGTTATTATTCCAATGCATGGGTTGGACACGGGCGATTCTTTAAAAATGTGTTTAATAAACGTTTTGCGTTGTGTGTTTTCATTCCGCAGGCGAGAGCATAGCGGACACGAGTACTTCATCACCGGACGTCGCGGGCCCGGCATCGCCGTCTAGCCGGTTGGACCGATCGGAACCGTCTCCCGGTCTGATCATAGCCATGGATAGGTACGCGCACCAGAAACGACGAGACCGCGGACAGCCACAGAGCCTATAATATTATAATGTCGTTATGTGTATTGCGTACACGCGTGTAGTATAAAGCCCCGTTCACGCAGCCGACGATTTTATTATTATTATTATTATTTTTTTTTTTTTTCGAATATTTTAGAGTGTGTCCCGATCTCGACAATACTTCGGAGAAACGGTTCGGATACCGTACCGTATACCGTAACGGTCGCATAATGTAATGCTACGAGAAATCGGTGTATGAGCGATCGGTCGAATTGTAACTTATTTAACAGTCGTTGTTTTGAATCGCGCTACTACTCATATTGTTCGTGCGATAACACGAACAATATGTCTGGGGGGGGGGGCAGTCGTATCGTACCGAGTCGTTCGTTCGTTCGGCGACAACGAAACATGTTATCGACCCGGTAATCGCGCGTATTTCACCAACCCTTAAGACACGTTTGGAACGGTTCTAAAAAAAAAAAAAAAACGTCCGGAGTTTCGATGCACGCGCGAACCCGCGGCTCAAGAGAGTGACCGGTCGCACAACTACACCAACTTATAATAATACCGTTCTATAGTACCAAGACGGAATTCATATTGTTTTGTTACGAAAAATTACGTTATTTTGCCGGGATAAACTTTGAAACGTTTATAGTGATAACGCTACGTAGGTGTACGTGTCGAGTATGTACATCGTGACAATGGATCCGCGAATGTAGACAAATGGGGGCGGAGGGGGGGGGTCTACTGGTCCGAATGCGTTGTGCAGATAATAATCGCATCTAATACATTGCGTGTAGCTCGGGGGGTCCTGTCGGACGCGAATCGTGCTCTACGAAAAAATACGCGTGGACCAATCGGCAGAAGACATTTCGCCACACTTCAGACCGGTACCGACCGATGCGATTGTATTATTGTTATAAATAACGATTTTTCTCGTTTACATTCCACTCGCGTTGTGTTATTACCTCCTAGGTATACATTTTTACTTGCATTGTTAAGAGTTTCGAAATCTCTGTGCGTAAAACGTCTCCGTGAGCATCCCCGCACGACTATTATAATATTATCGGCTGTCGCTGTCCGTCTCTCGATGGAGTTTGTTTTTGTTTTTTTTTTTTTTCATGCGTAAAATAATACCATTTCGTTCCTGTTGTACCTATATACAGGATGGCTTCGTCGCCGGAATGCGGTAGCATGACTACGGATAGCGGACAGGACCCGAACGACGCGGGCGACCGCGTCAAAGTCAAAGAAGAAATGTTGGATGACAAGAAGGACGTGCAGATGGTACAGGGATACGAAAACGGGACGGCGTCCGACAGCAAAACGGGACCGTCTTCGCCGTCGTCGGTTACGGCGGCGGCGGTGGCGGTAGCGGCAGCGGCGGCGGCGGCGGCTGCGCAGCAGCAACAGCAGCAGAGGCGTGAGTCGGTTGTAATGACGAGCCCTTTGAGTTGCGTGGTCAAGTCGCCACCGCCGTCGCATTCGTCGTCACCGTCGCCGTTGACTTGGTCGTCAACGGTAGCTCAGACGTCGTCGCAGCAGCAGCAGCAACAACAACAACTGCATCAGCAACTCCACCACCAACACCATCAGCAGCAACAACATCATCAGCAACAGCAACACCACCAGCAGCAGCAGCAACAGCAGCAGCAGCAGCAGCAACAGCAACAGCAGCATCAGCAGCAGCAACAGCAACACCATCAGCAGCAGCAATCGCAGCAGCAGCAGCAGCAGCAGTCGTCCCGGTGCAACACCCCTTCCGCTCCGGACTCCATGTCCGTTACCCAACAGTACCAGCAACGCAGGCAGTCCGTCGTCACTTCTGTATCGTCAGCGTTTTGGAACGCGGGCACGCAAACGTCGCCCGCGTCCACCACGTCCGGCAATACGGCGGCCGCTGCCGTCGCGGCATCTGCCGCCGCGTCCGTCTTGTCTGTGTGCCGTATAAATGGCGTTCGGCCTGAGCTTATCGGCGGCGCCGGATTCGCGTCGGCCGCCGCAGCCGCCGCCGCGGCAGCCGCCACCAACACTGACATGAAACCGCCGGCCGCCATACCTCCACGAACCACTCGGTCTGCACCCACCGTTATCATGGGTGAAGCTGGTAAGTGCACAGCGCGTTCGAATAACATCCCTTCATTTCGCGGCCCGTAATTCTAAAACGTATATTCTTAAACGCCCATTCCTATCCATTTCGCCGACATCAGTGCCCAGTCCCGAAACAAAAAAAATTCGCATTAACGGTAACATTTCGGTGTTTTGTCGCATTTCGCAGGTGGCGTTCGGACGATGATCTGGTCCAGTCCGCCGGGTACCGTGGAACAGTCCACGTCGCCGGCCAGCACCTGCGGTGCCGTGCCGTCGACGGCCGGCTCGCCCTACTGGTCGTCCGCGTCCACGTGGACGTCCAACACGTCATCCGGTTCTTCGCCTTCCCCGTCGCCAGGGGTCAGTGAAGAGTCAGCCGCCCATCTTTTGTTGAACCTCGGCGTGGCCGCCGGCCATGACGTCACGTCCGTCATTAGCCATATGCCCGGTCTCAGGCCCATCGGCGGTCAGCAGACGTCGGTGGGTGGTGGCGGCGGCGGAGGCGGTGTACAAGGTAACATTGGCGCTGGTGGCCAACAGAGTTTCCACGTGCCGCTCAACATGGAACGGCTATGGGCCGGTGACCTATCCCAGCTGCCGGTGGCTTCCACGCATCAAATGCATGCGCTAAACCTAACGGCCAACACGGGCGCTGGATGGCCGATGGCCAGTCCCAACGGTGATAACAAACCGGCGCCCGTCAACACGTACCATCACCAGATGGAAGAGGCCGACGAACAGGACCAACCAATGGTGTGCATGATCTGCGATGACCGGGCCACGGGCCTGCACTACGGAATCATCACTTGCGAAGGGTACGTACAAGTTATGTCTAGACCAAATTAAAGAAAAAATATTTATCCACATTTTGGGTAGCTAAATAAACCTATTGGTAATTATCAAAAATATTTATCTACCCATGGATTTTTAACCCCGGCATGTAATTACCCTTGCATCATCCGTTTTGGGAACCCTGATTGTACGAAAAGACTAAAAACTGTTTGTGCGCATATTTTTAAATTCAGTGTGCACAACGAGAATAAAGAGAGTCGTAGGAGAATCGTGACATAAAATTAAAACGCATTTTATTGAAATTTATACTCGATTATTATTTTTGTAAATAATTTTCTTTCTTCCTTTTTCTAACTTAGTAAGGCGCCAATCGAGTTTTTTTTCATAAAATCATTTTTCTTTAAAGGCACGGCGACGGACGGTGTTTTCGATAATATTGTTCGCCAATGTCCACTCGAGTAAGGTAGTCTTGCCGCATATTTTGCACTGACGAGGAATTTTATCGACTTCAAACGTTTTTGAAAATATTTTCTAGTCGTGCGTTAAAATAGGATTTGTGTGTATACCACGAGAAAAACACACGACACCGCGCTGTCGCAAACTTATCCACCGCGTATGCGAACGTCATTATCGCGCCGTAACTGTAAAACCGTTAACGGTGTACGGTTCGCCTTGCTCAAGGACGACGACTTCTTTTTTTTTTTCTGTACACTACAAGGTTATATGTACCGAGATATTATTACATAGTATTATTTTTACTCGCACTGGTTTCCATTCATCCGACAGGAGTCGTTAACACTAAAATACGCATAATACAGTTCGTTTTCCTATTTTCGTACGCTCGATGACCCGCAACCATACGTGTATTTTATTAATTCATTTATTATTGGGTATATTTTTTTAAATTTTAATTCTCGTCCGTTTCGTGTACACAGATGCAAGGGGTTCTTCAAACGTACCGTCCAAAACCGAAGGATATACACGTGCATAGCGGAGGGCACTTGCGAAATAACAAAAGCTCAACGGAACAGGTGTCAATACTGCCGCTTCAAAAAATGCATCGGACAAGGAATGGTGTTGCAAGGTAAGCGGATTTCGCCGACGCATTAATATTAATTACAGTGAAGTTTTCATCGACCGACGAAAACGAAATTATAATCGTACGGGCGCGGTAATTTTAACGATTTATACCGGACAAAATGAAATATACGCCGGGCACTGTTTGATTTTGATGGTCAATGTAGGCAAAATTACGCATTTCCCCGAACATATAAATTGCCTGGGCAATGTGAACCATATAATATAATATAATATAAAGAATGTTAAGAAATAGGTTTTTATTATTATTAGACTATAAACTAAAATATCGCTAGGTATCGCTGTACAACAATTATTTGATTATTCAAAAAGAATTACGATTATATTTCACTATTTGTTTGAACAAATAGTTAATTTGAACAGTTATTCAAGTCTTTTTAAGCACAATTACATCTATCATATCCTTGTGTTCCTCTACATTTGATAATGTTCCCGTTGTTTCTATATTAATGCAATTTTTAGGTTGGGTACGTCCCCAACACCCATTCATTTTTTCTTTACACGTAGTAAACTGCAGGTTACGGCTATACGACGCGTGTTCCAACTTTCCATCGGTGGTTTCTGTCACATAATTGTCTTCGTAAACAAAAGAAATATTATAAAATATTAAAATATGTATTATCGTAGTTGCAATATATACTTAAATTCAAGTATTGCCTGATAGTATAACTCCAAGAACACTACGTAGATCAATAGCCACGGCTGCGTGCACTGGCTACATCAGGTGTTTTGATTTTAACGGTTTCTCCGAATTTTCCATAGCGTAACCTTTTTGTAAACGCTAAACCGCACAACACTACAATTTGCGCGATTGCGCTGCGACAAACGGCGCAACGCTGCACTTTGATAATAATTATCATTACCGATTCACACGTCTCGCGCAATACGATTATGGAGTGACCCGCCATTAAATTTGTCTCGAGCTTTTAAGCCATAATTATGTAAACGAAACAATCGGAATAGCGCGGACAGAATACGTGCGCGTACCGGCTAGGACGTATCACTACGGGCTAAGTATAGTACACCTTAACCGGCCAATGTATTACCCTGTCCGGGTAAAGCGGCATTTTATTGTGTTGCCCAAAACCATCGGGCAAAGTATACAATGCCCGGACAATGTGCACATTTCACGGTATTCTATTTTTTCCCGTAACATATATTATAATTTTATACGCAATAGAATTTCACGCAATACAAACCGTTTTGTTTTCAGCCGTTCGAGAGGACAGAATGCCGGGCGGAAGAAATTCCGGTGCCGTCTATAACCTGTACAAGGTAAATACAAAATACCACGCCGTGGCGTGTTTCTGTATAATGTTAAAATTTCCGTCGTTCTATTCCGAACGTGCCATTAATTGCGCATATTCCTAATGGTTTCAGGTAAAGTACAAGAAGAAGAGGCCGCCGAAGAACGGACAAGTGAAAATGGAGAAATCTGTTCCGTCCAACACGACGGCCAGCACCATGACCGCGATGAAAACGGAGAACCAGGACAACAACTCGTCTATTTCAACACTGGTCAACGGGACCATACTAAAGACTGCCCTGACAAATCCCAGCGAGGTTAGGGTCTTTTTTTTTTTTTTATGTTCGTTTTCCGTTGTCCTCTCGACAAGCGAATCTAATTAACGATCGACAATAATTCGCGCGTTTATTTGCATAACACGCATAATATTTATTCATAATGCACTGATACAATATTGTTGTCCCCAGGTTGTTTATCTCAGACAAAGACTAGACAATGCGGTGAGCTCGTCGAGGGACCGTACGTTTTCGATCGAAGCAACGGTGAACATGATCAAGAATCTTGTGGACTGTGACGAGTTTCAAGACATCGCCACTCTAAGGGTATATAATATAACTGTCAAATAATACATACGGTTGTTAAGTAGGTAGGGTAGTGATATGTTATTGTTATCTCGAGGATTGGCAAAAAATTACACAAAAAAAAAAATGTTAAACAAATATTAAACCCTCAGATATACTGTCTTTATATTTTACTCTGTCCGTTAATATTATATTATAGCATAGGCAATTAGACATACATGTTGACTATATAAATGTTTTTTTTTTTTTTTTTTTTTCATAGAACATGGAGGATCTGCTTGAACACAATTCCGACCTGTCGGCCAAACTCATGCAGATCGGCGATTCGATCGTGTACAAGCTAGTGCAGTGGACCAAGCGCTTGCCGTTTTACCTCGAACTGCCGGTCGAAGTGAGTATCCGATGATCGCCGACGACGACGACGCGGACGTGTATTATTATTCGACTAACCACCTGTTTCTCCGTGTTTCAGGTGCACACCAGACTTCTGACGCACAAGTGGCACGAGCTGCTGGTGCTAACCACGTCTGCGTACCAAGCGATACACGGACCCCAGAAGATATGGAACTCGACCAATATCAACGGCGACCGGAACGACGATTCCGAATTCAACCAAGAGGTGTGTATATGATAATTACTCTAATAATGTATACGTATGTATATTTGCGGTCCCGACGATGACGACGACCATGTACTCACGATTCCGTTCTCGTTACCCTCGCAGGTGTCTCATAACCTGTGCATATTGCAAAATTGTTTGTCGTCAATGATGGGCAAGCCCATAACGATGGACCAGCTCCGGCAAGACGTCGGGGTCATGGTAGAGAAAATCACGCACGTTACCCTCATGTTCAGGCGGGTAAAACTGCGGATGGAAGAATACGTGTGCTTGAAAGTGATCATCATGTTGACACAAAGTGAGTACCTATATATAATTTTGGATACCTAGTCCTTTGTCGGTATTCGTTCAATAAAGGAACCGTGTACTATACTATCGTTTCGCGCACTTTCAGATAACGGCAATACCACTAGCGAATTGGAAACCATTCAAGAGAGGTATACGTCTTGTTTGAAGACTTACGTCGAACATACCTTTCCCATGCAACCCAACAGGTTGCAAGATCTCCTTCACCGACTCCCAGAGGTAAACATTTTTAATCATTTTCAATGATAATAACGGGAAATTTTGTACAAATTTTTGTTTTTTCAATTCATCAGGCGGTATATATTATAAAGTAAATAGGTATTTGATTTTTGCGTCTTGTAAACGAAATCAGTTTCCAATACTTTTCGTTTATTTTAAAAATTCCCATGTACGCGTGTGCGCCGAAATTTAAAAATACACCATTGAAAAATTAAAAAAAAAAAGACGAAAAATTAAAAATTGAAATTTCACTTCGGCATAATGTAAATTCTTTGTTGGAAATTGATAAAAATGTCCTAATTGAAAAGCATTGTTCAAAAAAACAATGCGTTTTTCATGAAATTCCTTTTTTGCCTACTTATCATAATACGCGCCACGATGAATAACCCTCTCAAAAACGCCATTGCTCTTGCGATCCTCTCAAAATCAACCCCTTTATACGCGTCATTATGTTATACAAAAAAGAGTGAAACTGCGAGAAGTTTCACGGCTGCAACAAACGCACATATTTTTTCCGAATTCAGATACCAGTCTTGGGCAAATTAATTTTCATGTTCGTCACCTTAAATTTGTACGTGAAGTTGCCTATAGTTTACTTCTGAAACTTCTGAAAAGTTGTTAATCTTTTATCACTTTTTTTAGAAAATTTGTTTTAATATTAATTTATAAATTATTTTATAGGTAAGTACACTATTTATTATAGATAAACTTTTTAGATAGGGCTTGAAACCGAAAAAAAATGTCTAATTTAAATGTTCGATTTCGTTTTTTTTTTTTCCGTTTCGGTTTTTATTAATAACACCGGTATTAGTTTTTACAGTTTTGATTTCGATTTTTAAATATATACTTGTATACTATTTTGATTGTTCAACAATATATTTTGAATTCCCTTCACGCCTTTTTAAAATCAAATTTGTACGAATCGTATCGTTATTGTCTATCGTGTCATCTGGATTACAATAAATATTGTCTTTTATCTAGCCACACGAAATCGTATATTGTTCATTTTTCCCAACACGATTGCCCAGTGCCGTCAAATACCTATTTTACGTATACCTATAATAATAACGATAATTACATTATACACCCGAGGTTATTTGTTTGTTCGTCCGTTTATTAATTTGTCCCGCGCGTGTGTGTGTGTGTGTTTTTTTTTTTTTATAGATACAGTCGGCTGCTTCGCTCTTGTTAGAGTCGAAAATGTTTTACGTGCCTTTCCTCTTGAATTCGACGATCCGGAGTTAGTGCAGGTGTACCCCCATACACGTACGTCATGTATATATTATATACCTACGCAGCAGCCGCCGCCGCACGGAGGATCGAAAAAAACCTACAGATCGTATAGCATAATAGGTATATAGAACCAGTTACCAAAATAACGACTCCGTGTACATACAAACGCGCGCGCGCGCACACACACACACACGTGTACGCGTCGTATGTCGCGAGTTGTTGTAGAGAAACAACTACATTATAGTGTAGAAGAAAACGGGAAGTAACTCGATCCGTCGTGACCCGCTCGAAAACTTCGTCTTCTCGCCCCGTCGCAGCCGTCGTTTTGTTTTGTTTTTGTTTTTTTTTTTTTTTTTTTTGT